CGTTAGAGCACTCCAGCATTTAAATGTGAATAAATCTTTTGTGTCTCGTACCATCGCTCGTTACCGTGATACTGGTAGCTTAGCCCAACGTCAAGGAAGTGGACGGAAGAAAACAGCAACATCATCAGAAATGGTTCGAAAAGTAAAGAAGCTACTTGATCGAAACCCGCGTTGCAGTGGCCGAAAAATGGCTCGTGAGCTGAATTTATCACAATATTCCATTCTGCAATTATTTAAAAATGAGCTCGGGGTAAAGCCATTGAAATTCCAAAAACTGCAAGAACTTACACCGCAACAGAAAGAAAATAGACTCAAAAGAGCTAAAGAGTTTCTTCGCTTGGCCGAAAGTGGTGAATTGCCGAATTTGGTTTTCTCCGATTTCTCCGATGAGAAAACATTCGTTGTCCAGCAGTTTGTAAACAAACAAAATGATCGTGTTCGTAATCTTTGCCAAAGAGGTCAGCTGAAAATGTGCACCTTCTGTTGGTCACCAGAACTCAAGCGCCGGCCATGGTTATGTTGGTGATGGTGTGGGCCGCCATGACAGCCGATGATCGCTCTCCGTTCGCATTAATCAACCGTGGCATCAGAATAAATGCCGAATATTATCGTGAAAATATTCTGAAGGGTGTATTAAAGCCTTCGGGAACGCAAACATTTTGGCCGCAGATCTTGAACATTCCAACAGGACACAGCATTATCGCTCTCAACACGCCATCGCCACCCAAGAATGGTGGTTCTCGCTTCATTTCCAGTGCACAATAGCCACCAAAATCCTCCGGATACCAATCCATTGGACTATTCTTTGGTGTCTGGAGTATTTTGGAAAGCAAGGTTGGCCCTAAAAAAATACCAAAGTGTCGACCAGCTCAAGCAAGCGCTTCGTCGGGAATGGACCAAAATACCGCAGAACAACATTCGGGCAGTGTGTGACGGTTTCATTGGACGTTTGAAGGCCATAATTCGTGTCGAAGGTGACCAATTCGAACAAATCTTAACTTATTCTAAAATTTGATGCTATGTGGTGGATCGATGTATTCCGCTTCATCTAATAATAATAAAAATATTGGGACCTGCAAAATGTAAAGACAATCGAACATTTATTTTAAATTTTATGCGAATAATTGTAAATCAAAATCAGATATCAGAAGGTGTGGTCCAATACATTCCATCTTTACAACAGATCTTGTGTTAGTAGAAGTAATGTGCCCGAGGTACCAGAAGCAGTCCTCCGATATATCCCATCTTTTCAGCGGATCTTGTGTTAGTAGAAATAACGGGAGGTGTGATATTTGAAGAGAACCGGATGCTTATTTCGGATTTTATGATAGTTTTGGTTATTCAAAACTTCGATCTTTTGTGGGGGAGGTACCAGAAGGAATTGTCCGATCACTACCATCTTTATAACAGATCTTTTGTTGGCGGAAATATTGAGATTTGCAAGTCTGAATGAAATCGGATGTTAGTTTCGTGTTTTATGAGCTTCATGAATATTCAAAATTTTGTCCCTTTGTGGGGGAGGTACTTGATGGAGTGGACCGATATTGTCAATTTTCGCACCTGATCTAGCACTGATGCAAATATTAGGATGTGCAAAACTAGAGCAAAATCGCAATGCCCATTCTCTTTCTGTGCAAAAAATGGGGTTAGGTACCAAAAGGAGTGGACCGACACATTCCATTTTCCCACCAGACCTTGGGTTAATAAAAATATTGTAATGTGTGTGATTTGTAGACAATCGGTCTCCTTCGTCACATTTTATGAGAGTTCTATTTATTTTAAATGTTGACCCCTTGTGGGGGAGGTACTTGACGAAGTGGGCCGATATTGTCAATTTTCGCACCTGACTTAGCACTGATGCAAATATTAGGATTTACAAAGTTGGAGCAAAATCGAATTATCCTTTCACTTTCTGTGCAGAAAATATTTTTTATGGAAATTTCGACCTTTTGTGGGGAAGGTACCAGAAAGAGTGGACCGATATATTCCATCGTCACACCAGACCTAGGGTTAGTAAAAATATTGTGATGTGTGTAATTTGAAGACAATCGGAAGCTTATTTCGGATTTTATAAGAGTTATAATTATTCAAAATTTTGAGCCTTTGTGGGGGAGGTACTTGATGAAGTGGACCGATATTGTCCATTTTCGCACCTAACCTAGCACTGATGTAAATATTAGGATTTACATCGGATTATCCTTTCTCCTTTTGTGCAAAAAATATATTTTTTGAAAATTTCAACTCTTTGTGAGGGAGGTACCAGAAAGAATGGACAATATTGTCCATCTCCGAACTTGATCTAAGTTTGATAAAAATATTATGATGTACTAAGTTTGGAACAAATAGGATACTCCCTTCGAGAGTTATCGTGCGCACCAGAAAGTCAGACAAAGAGACAGACGGACGGACATCGCTAGATCGACTACAAATGTCCTGAAACGGTCTCCAAAGAGCAAAACCGATATTTCGGTCAAATTTTTTGGCCAAATTTAATGATATATATGCCCTCTCCCTATTAAAATCCAGGCTTTTCGGTTGGTTGATTATAAAAAAATATTTTATTAACCTTTTTTAAAAAGAAAATCGCAATCCTCATTATGATGAACTCTCAGTGTTATAGTGAACTTTTTATGCCAAGTGTTCACCATACGGCCATGAAATGGTGTATTTCAATATATACTGTACTGCACGTGAGTGACACGCCACCCTTGATATTGAAATATAAATTCGAATAAAAGCAAAGTAATTCTTCAGAAACTAAATTTTGAAAAAAAAGACAAATTACAACATGAAATTCAAGTTTCAAAATTGTCCAAATCTAAATTACAAATGTCAGTTTCCTTTTTTTATAAAAGGATGAAGCAATTTAAGCCAATACCCTTTCACATAATTTCTTTTGATTTAATCGCAATTATTTTGTAACGAGTCCACTCACACATATACCATATATGTGGTTCTTTACGTTTTTGTTTTTTATACCCTACACCACAAGGTGGTCAGGGTATTATGGCTTTGTGCATTTGTTTGTAACAGGCAGAAGGAAACGAGATAGACCCATAGTTCCTTTTGATGATCTGCACAGAATCACATTCTGAGTCGATTTATGCATGTCCGTCCGTCCGTCTGTCCGTCTGTCCATGTATTTTTGTAAACAAAGTACAGGTCGCATTTATTGCCCGATCCAGATGAAATTTTGCAAAGATCTTTTGTTTGGCCCAAGGACGAACCCTATTGAAATTGGAGATAATCGGTCGAAATTTAGATATAGCTCCCATATATATCTTCGTCCGATTTGCCTTTTATTGTGCACCAAACGTGTAATATCAGCCCGAATTGTATGGAATTTTGCATATACACATAAATTAGGCCTGAAAATATGTGTGCCAAATTTGATCGAAATCGGTTCAGATATAGCTATAGCTCCCATATATATTCTTCGTCCGATTTGTTATTTTTGTCCACCGCAGCCGTAATATGCACTATGCAACAACAACATTTGGGGAAATATATCAAATACAGCTCAGAAATACATTTGCTAAATTTTATCGAGATCGGTTCAGATTTGGATATAGCTCCCATATATAACTTCGTCCGATTTACCTTTGATTGTGCACCAAACGTTTAATATTTGCCCAAATTGGATGAAATTTGGCACTTACGACCGAATTGAGTCTAGAAACTAGTATGTCAAATTTTGTGAAGATCGGTTCAGATATAGCTATAGCTCCCATATATATTGTTCATCCTATTTATTGTAATTGTTACCCACAGCCGTAATATGCACTCCGTAACAACGATATTCAGGGAAATATATCAAATACAGCTCAGAAATATCTTTGCCAAATTTTATCGAGATCGGTTCAGATTTGGATATAGCTTCCATATATATCTTTATCCGATTTCAAATTAATTTCGCACCAAATTGGCAATACAAGTCCGAATGTAAAAGATACAAATGCTTCGGCATATTTAGTCCTTTGAATTTTAAATTATAATTATAATCATAGCGTGTATGATTAAATTCTCCCATAAAAACTTTTAATTGTTATGCGGAGCTCAACTAAATTAGCAAAGTGGTGTAGGGTATCATAAAATCGGCCCCGCCCGACTTTAGGACTTTTTTTACTGTTTTTTTTTTTTTTTTTTTTTTTTTTTGTTTACATGTATTTTGAAAATTATCTGTGGTAAAAGTTAAAGTTATGTGACGCCTTTCTGTGTCTTGCATGCCACGTGAACGGCATGCAATCCTCAAATAATTTAATTGGAACACGAAAATTAGCCCAATGACTTGGTAAACAATGTGTTTATGTCAAAACAAAAGCAAAGAATGCAAATAATATCAAAATTCAAATACGAAATTTCATGGACATTTTTTTTCATTCTTTAATAAAATATCGGCAATATTTTTGAATAAAAATTTCAAATAGAATTAAAAACAAATTGTGAAAAATACTAAATTTTTTTATAGAAATCAAAACTATAAAATTAAATGCCTTAAAGAATATTAATATTATTAGCTACCAAAAATAAATCATTGAACGCTGGTTTAAAAAAGTATCTTCCCAGAACCCATAAAATTCCAAAAATGGACCGATATCACCCATTTTCTATTCCAATGCTTTTGAATATAATTCAAAGGTGTCTATCAAATTTCAGAGCTCTATTCTATATAAATGTTGCCAAATAAATCTCAATCTATAGGGGTATATTTGTATATATAAAAACCCTAACAGAGTTTGACCCAAGAACCCTGAGCTTCTTTGGAGTTTGACCTTCAAAGGTGTATTATTCAGACCGCTTGGCTATCGAACAGTCAAGTAATAAGAAAATTTGCAGTGAATTGGGAAGAAGTGCTAAATTTTTAAGAAATAAACAATGTTTTTTTTTTTTTTTTTTTTTTTTTTTTTTTTGTTTAGAACAAGTAAGCAAAGGCTATAGCCGTGCGGGGCCGTCCATGTGATACCCTACAACACTAGAATATGTTAGAAGTCCCCTTTATGTCCACATCCATTTTAGAAGATTTCGCTTTTGAAATTAGGTCAGAGACCCCTGCCCAGATGTTACCCTTGGGTTTTCGACCCGGGGAATTTGGGTAATATTTAGGCACAACGTATGCTGTTACATATTTAAAGAAAAAAACAATTTAAAAAGCAGTAAGTTAGGCCGGGCCGAACTATGAATACCCTCCACCATTTGGAACAAATTTGGAAATTTTCAAAAAATAAAATCCGTTAAAAATTCTGTTAAGATTTTAAAAATACCGAATATAGCCGTTATATTGGGGTCTCTACGACGATGTGGTCCTACATAGGCATTGTTTGTCATAAGCCATTACCATATTTAAATTCGAAACTTGAAATAAACGGTAAATAATATAGCTAAAAGCAAAAATATCGTATATAGGGAGGTTTAAGGTCATTAATCATTCTGACAATTCCACTTTCATCGCTTGTGCATGTGACAAGGCCAGGGTCAGCAGTTGCTGGGTATATAAAGCTGAAGAGTAGTGTAAAACTTCACAACACGTTTTTTTAACAACCTTCAACATGCGTTTCTTTGGAAATATTCTAATTTTATTGGCTATTGTGGCCATGGCCTTGGGTCAGGTAAGAATAGCATGGAATATCTTCTAATAATTCTCTCTTGAATCCTTTAAGGATATTGAGTCATATAATAGCTTATATGTATTAAATAAATTATAAATATTATTTTCTATTACAGCAACAATCTCCATCTGCTGATTACGAGAATGTAGCCAATGCTGAACCCCAACCAAGGGAAGATCCTGCCAAGATTGGATTCTCCATTGAATTTGGAAAATAAAAACTTTATGGAAATTGTGTTCTGATTTATGTGAAATAAAAGATAAATTTAACTTAATTATCCTTTTTATTGCAAATATTTGGAAGGAGCTTTGGAGGCATAGGATTGTCATTTACGCATAGCTATAAAAAATATTATATATTTCAGCCATATACCGAGGGTTTGGTTCAGAGCCTAAAGCGTGAAGTTTTTTTTAAAAATATATATATATATATTTTTTAGAAGTCTAACGAAGCCATAAACATGAAATTAAAAAAACAACTATGCAAAGGCTATAGTCGTGCGGGACCGACCATGTGATATTCTGCAACACTACAATATGTTAGAAGCCCCCTTATGTCCAAATCCATTTCGGAAGATTTTGCTTCTAAAATTATAACACGGAGCACTGCCCAGATATTACCCTTAGCTTTTTGACCAGGGACATTTGCCCAATATTTACGCACTCCGTTCTGCTGTTAGTTGTTGTGGTCTATTTTACAGCTAAATATAATCCAATGGTCATCCAAAATGCTAGAATTCTTCCCTGTCCTTAACTCTCTTCTCAGACGTGTCGATTGGCTTCAATTGTGTAAACAGGAATATTTTTCGGTTTTTGGTTCATTGGAACCCCTAAATATTTTGCTATCATCTCCCGAAGTTCGCCTTTTGTGTATTTCGGATATCGGTTGTAGGTAAATGTGGTATTTTTTCACACACAAGTAGTGGTCCATTCTACCCGCTGTCCTAACTTTAACTTCCAACGAGATTTCGTGTCCTTTGGTTTCTATTTGTGACCTTCATAACGGCGGTAAAATCAGGAACATTTTTAGTTGTTGGTCCATTTCAACCCCCAATATATATTGGGGAGATCTTTTAAAACAATAGGCCTAGTCCTTTTGAGCCTAACCCTACCCTTGTTAATATTTTTCGTGAGGGTCGGACGATAATTGCAATCTGTATATAGCAATCCCAACCTGTGTTGTAAGGTAAAAAAATATTACAAAATATACACTTCGATATTAAAAGACAAGTAAAAAAACATTAATTTCGGCCGGGCCAAACTTTTAATACCCTCCACCTTAGGGTAAAAGAAACATTCGAAGAAATGTGGCAAAAACCATTAAAATTCCGAATATCGGGAGGTACCATTATATGGGGGCTATATCAAATCATGGACCCATGCATGCAATATTTCGCCACCGAAGCTGGAACCCATTATGACCAACAAATACCAATTTTCAGACAAATCCGTGAAAAAATGTGGCAAAAAAATAAAATACCGAATATCGGGAGGTACCGTTATAAGGGGGCTTTACCAAAACGTGGACCTACACATGCACTGTTTTGCCACACGTTCAGGGACCCATTATGACCCACAAATACCAATTTTTAGACAAATCAGTGAACAAATGTGGCAAAAACCATCAAAATACCGAATATCGGGAGGTACCGTTATATGGGGGCTATACCAAATCATGACCCACATATACAAATTTTTAGACAAATCCGTGAAAAAATGTGGCAAAAAAAAAATAAAATACCGAATATCGGGAGGTACCTTTATATGGGGGCTATACCACAACGTGGACCTATACATGCAATGTTTTGCCACACGCTCAGGGACCCGTTATGACCTACAAATACCAATTTTCAGACAAATCCGTGAAAAAATGTGGCATAAATCATCAAAATACCGAATGTCGGAAGGTACCGTTATATGGGGACTATACCAGAACGTGGACCGATATATCTCATTTTCAATACCAACCATCCTAGACGCAATGCAAATAGCTCTGCTAAATTTTGGCCCTCTACGTCAAATAATGTGGGCTGTATCGTGATTTCAACAGACTGACAGACAGACAGACAGACGGACAGACAGACAGACAGACGGACATCGTTAAATCGACTTAGAATTTTATGCTGATTATGAATATACATACTTTATGGGGTCTAAGACGAATATTTAAGGATGTTACAAACGGAATGACAAAGTTAATATACCCTCCTTTCCAAGGTGGAGGGTATAAGAAGTTGAAAAAATCGCATGCGATAAAAAAATATGAAAAATATTACAAAATCTATATTAACATCATTATTGGAATATTTTTATGCGATTTTTTTTTTAGATTTTATACTTTTATGCCAAGAGGGCATTCTGAATTGACAAAATTTGTTAAAATCGGTCCAGCCATTCTTGAGATATAAGCATTCTATGTAACATCCCCTTCCTTTGTATTTATACATTGTATATATATATATATATATATATATATATATATATATATATATATATATATATATATATATATATATATATATATATATATATATATATATATATATATATATATATATATATTTACTATGGGCATCTACGTTACGGCGAGAATTTACCTATTCGTATCCTTTTGATTTCGCTGGGACAAAAAAATATTCGCGATTTAATGGACATTTTGACTTTTATTTAACACAAATGTTATGGTCTATTTCACCCACTAAATATTATCCGATTGCCATCAAAATTGGAAGGCTTATGCCCAGCCCTGAGCGCTAAACCCATGCTAATTTTCGCTTCAATTGATCTATAATTGCGACCTGTAGAGCAACTGTAAAATCAGGAAATTTTCAGATTTTGGTCCATTTCAACCCCCTAAATATTATGCGATCATCTCCAAAAGCAATACAGTCGTACATACATAGCTAGATCAACTCAGCTCGGCGAGATAGAAAGATCCAAATATACTTTCCTATTTCAGAAACCAATATTTCGAGGTGTTACATAATTTTTGGCCCAATGAAATTTATAATACCCCCAACACATAGTGTTGTAGGGTATAAAAATGTGATGATACTTTCCAAGGTACATGTTGAATATACAAATTACTTTTCTTCATAGACTCACACTGAAATTTGGTTTAGAATAATTCATCCTTTGATATTTTTCCCAAAAAAAAATTAATTATAAAGGGAGATTTTTGGCTTGGATCGGAAATGTGTTAAATTAGCAGTAAAATAAGGCAAAACACATCATTATACCCTCAGCCATATGGCTACAGAGGGTATATATCATTTGATACAGTCAAAACGTGCCTAGTCGAAATAATGGTTTTAGACCCTAGGTCTCTTTGGACCAAATCCGTTTCAGAACATTTGGAGTCGATCTACCGATGTCCGTCCGTCCGTCCGTCTGTCTGTCTGGCTGGCTGGTGCGCACGATAATTCTCGAAGGGAGTATCCGATTTGATCCAAACTCGGTACATCGTAATATTTTTGTCAAACTTAGATCGAGCTCGGAGATGGGCAATATCGGTCCACTCCTTCTGGTACCTCCCACACAAAATGTCAAAATTTTCAAAGAAAATAATTTATTGCCCAGAAAGAGAAAGGATAATCCGGTTTTGCTCGAACTTTGCGAATCCTAATATTTTCATTAGTGCCAGGTCAGGTGCGGAAATGGACAATATCGGTCCACTCCATCGAGGACCTCCCCCGCAAAGGGTCAAAATTTTGAATAATTACAACTCCTATAAAATGTGATGTAAGAGTCCGATTGTCTTCAAATTGTATCGGTCTTCGAATGTATCGGTCCACTTTTTCGGGTTACTCCTCCACGAAAGGTCAAAATTTTCAAAAACAAAAAAAAATATTTTTTTTCAGCACATAAAGAGAAGCAATAATCCGAGTTTGCTCAAATTTTGCTCAGTTCTAGGTCAAGTGCGAAAATGGACAATATCGGTCCACTCCATCAAGTACCTCCCCCACAAAGGTCAAAATTTTGAATAATTACAACTTTTATAAAATGTGATGTAAGAGTCCGATTGTCTTCAAATTTCACATATCTCAATATTTTTATTAACCCAAGGTCTGGTGTTAAGAGGGAATACATCGGTCCACTCCTTTTGGTACCTCCCCCACAAAAGGTCGAAATTTTCAAAAAATATATATAAAATATATTTTTTGCACAGAAAGAGAAACGGTTACCCGATTTTGCTCTAACTTTGCAAATCCTAATATTTGCGTCAGTGCTAGGTCATGTGCTAGAATGGACAGTACCGGTCAACTCCATCAAGTACCTCCCCACCAAAGGGTCAACATTTTGAATAATTAAAACTCTTATAAAATGTCATGTAAAGATCCGAACATCTTCAACTTTCACACATTCCAATATTTTTATAAGCTTAGGATCTGCTGTTAACATGGAATGTATCGGTCCACTCCTTCTGGTATCTCCCCCACAAAGTGTCGAAATTTTGAATACCCATGAAGCTCATAAAACGCCACATTAAGATCTGATTCCATTTAGACTTGGCACATCTCAATATTTCTATCAACACAAGATCTGTTATAAAGGTGGTATAGATCGAACCATTTCTTCTGGTACCTCCCCCATACTTAGGGTTCAAGATTTTGAAAAACAAAACGCCCAAATAAAGCGAAATGAGCATCCAAATCTCTTCAAATTTCATACATAAAAATTTGTTTGCTAACACAAAATCTGTTATGAAGTTGATATATATCTGCCAACCCCTTCTGGGGTCACAATTTTCAATAATTTTATCTGTCATAACTTTTGAAACAATTTATCAATTCTTTACTACTTGCTATGCTCAAATATTTCTCTCAGTAAGAAGCCTGATATGAATATGACATTTATCGGAATTTATGATTTCGCATAAAATTGGAGCCCAATATTTCGCTAAATTTTTTTATTTGCATCAGATGAAGTATAAAAATGGAATATTCCGGTAGACTCTATATATACAAAATGGACAATATTGGCCCATTCCTTCGGAACCGGCTCCATAGAGGGTCAAACGTTTGAATAACTGTAACACTAGTCAAATATATTTCGATTATTTAATCGAACATAGGCTGAGGGTATATATCTGTCGGCAATACCGACTGATACTTTTTAACTTGTTTTCGTTTGTAATTTATAAATTTCGAATGTAATTTTCTTAAAAACTATTGTATATATTTTTCCTCCTCATTTTATTTGCAATATTGCCAAAGGCTAACATATACCTAAAATCAACGAGAATTTCAAAAAAAAGGACGTTTCACTCCATATTTAGACTAATTTGCGATATAAACTTTCCGATACATGTGTCTTATATTTTAGCTGTACTTTGATAATTAGCTGGATTTTTCTTGTAGTCAGGACACAGGACTGCTGTGGAATACACATATCAGAGATGCTAAAGACTTCCTACAATATCAAAATTATTTTTAGACATTTATTTATTTAATAATTTATTCATATATTTTAGTATTTTTATACCCTCAGCCATATGGCTAGAAGGTATACAACTGAAGGGTATACATCTGAAAATTTTTATCTTGTTTTTTTTTCAACTTCAAAAATTAGCTTCTAATGTATCGACTTTGAGACTTGGAGATATGATGAAATTCCATGAATTGAAAGAAAATTACCTTTAAGGTCATTAATCATTCTGACAATTCCACTTTCATTGCTTGTGCATGTGACAAGGCCTGGGCCAGCAGTTGCTGGGTATATAAAGCTGAAGAGTAGTGCAAAACTTCACAACACGTTTTTTTAACAACCTTCAACATGCGTTTCTTTGGAAATATTCTAATTTTATTGGCTATTGTGGCCATGGCATTGGGTCAGGTAAGAATAGCGTGGAATATCTTCTAATAATACTCTCTTGAATCCTTTAAGGATATTGAGTCATATAATAGCTTATATGTGTTCAATAAATTATAAATATGATTTTTTATTACAGCAACAATCTCCTCCTGCTGATAACGAGAATGCATCCAATGCCGAATCCCAACCAAGGGAAGATCCCGCCAAGATTAGATTCTCCATTGAATTTGGAAAATAAAAACTTTATGGAAATTGTGTTCTGATTTATGTGAAATAAAAGAAAAATGTACATTTAATTATCCTTTTTATTGCAAATTTTTTGTAAGGAGCTTTGGAGGCATAGGATTGTCATTTACAAAAAAAAAAATATATTTCAGCGATATACCGAGGGTTTGGTTCAGAGCCTAAAGCGTGAAGTTTTAAAAAAATATATATATTTTTTAGAAGTCTAACGAAGCCATAAACATGGAATTAATAAAAAACAGTAAAGAAAGTTCTAAAGTCGGGCGGGCCCGAATTTATGATACCCTACACTACTTTGCTAATTTAGTTGAGATCCACATAAAAATTAAAAGTTTTTATGAAATAATTCAATCATACACGCTATGACTATAATTATAATTTAAAATTCACAGGACTAAATATGCCGAAGCATTTGTGTCTTTTAAATTCGGACTTGTATTGCTCATTTGGTGCACAATTAATTTGAAATCAGATAAAGATATATATGAGAGCTATATCCGAATCTAAACAGATCTTGATAAAATTTGGCAAAGATATTTCTGAGCTGTATTTGATATATTTCCCTGAATATCGTTGTTACGGAGTGCATATTACGGCTGTGGGTTACAAAATACAACAAATCGAATGAACAATATATATGGGAGCTATAGCTATATCCGAACCGATCTTTACCAAATTTGGCATACTACCTTCTAGACGCAATTCGGTCGTATGTGCCAAATTTCCGATTTGGGCAAATATTAGACGTTTGGTGCACAATGAAACGTAAATCGGAAGATGTTATATATAGGAGCTATAGCTATATCTGAACCGATTTCGATCAAATTTGGCATACTTATTTTCAGGCCTAATTTGGTTGTATGTGCAAAATTCTATAATATTCGGGCTGATATTACGCGTTTGGTGCACAATAAAAGGCAAATCGGACGAAGATATATATGGGAGCTATATCTAAATTTTTACCGATTATCTCCAATTTCAATAGGGTTCGTCCTTGGGCCAAACAAATGATTTGTGCAAAATTTCATCTGGATCGGGTAATAAATGCGAACTGTACTTTGTTCACAAAAATACATGGACAGACGGGCGGACTGACATGCATAAATCAACTCTGAAAGTGATTCAATACAGATCATTAAAAGGAACTATGGGTCTATCTCGTTTCCTTTTGCCTGTTACAAACAAATGCACAAAGCCATAATACCCTGACCACCTTGTGGTGTAGGGTATAACAACTAAGCAAAGGCCGACCATGTGATACTCTACAACACTACAATATATTAGAAGCCCCCTTATGTCCAAATCCATTTCGGAAGATTTTGCTTTTAAAATTATAACACGGAGCACTTCCGTCGTGCTGTTGGGTCTTGTGCTAGAATTCTTCCCTTTCCCTTACTCTCATCTCAAGCGTGCGTATCATCTCCAAAAGCAATAGGGTTCTATTCTGGCCCCACATCCATTCTAAATTTCGTGAAGATCAGGCCATAATTGCGACCTGTAGAGTGATTAACATGGACGGACATACATAGCTAGATCGATTCAGCTCGGCGAGATAGGAAGATCCATATATGCTCTCCTATGTGGGAAACCAATATTTCGAGGTGTGCCGGGACATGATTTGAAAAGCGAAATCTTCCCAAAATGGATTTGGACATAAGGGGGCTTTTAACATATTGTAGTGTTGTAGGGTATAACATGATCGGCCCCGCACGACTATAGCCTTTGCTTACTTGTTAAAAAAAAAAATTTGCAGAAGTGCAACAAAACCATAAACATTGATTTCAGAGAGTACCTCTGATAAATTTCTCGCAACTTTAAAAATAATTTTCTAAAATACATTTCTTTGCCACAGAGACCAGGAAATTATCTTTCGAATAATGTGTCAATTGATGAACCTGCCAAAATCCCTTAATCATTTTTGTAAACTCTTCAAGTTTTCTAGGAATATTTTTTTACAGAATATTTTTCCAGAAGTCCAAAGAAGGTGGATTTTTTTGAAATACCTCCAACAAGTTTTTGGTGGCTTTATAAATAATTTTCCTACAAATATATTCAGATACGAGGACATTTTCTTTAAAATTATCTTTCTGATGATATCCCCAAAAAATCCGTTTGATATTTTTATACCCTCCACCTTGGATGGGAGGGTATATTAACATTGACATTCCGTTTGTAACATCCCTAAATATTAGCCGTAGATCCCACAAAGTATATATATTCTTGATCAGCATAAAATTCTAGGTCAATTTAACAATATCCGTCCGTCTGCTCGTCTATCCGTCTTTGGAAATCACTCTAGCTTCGGAACGAATGTGTATTATGTCTGCAGGACTTTTGATATTGAAAATAGGTCATGTAGGTCCACGTTTTAGTATAGCCCCCATATAACGGTACCTCCCGATATTCGGCATTCTGATCATTTTAGTGACATTATTCAACGGAATTGTTTCAAATTTGGTATTTAAAGTTCGTAATGGGTACTAAAGCCTAAGACAGAAAATTGTCTGTGCAGGCCTACGTCTTCGTATAGCCCCCATATAACGGTACCACCCGATATTCGGTATTTTTATAACTTTAGCAACATTATTCAGAGGAATTGTTTCAAATTTGGTATTTGAAGTTCGTAATGAATGCTGCAGCCTGAGACAGAAAATTGTCTATGCAGGTCCATGTCTTCGCATAGCCCCCATATAACGGCATCTCTCGATTTTTAGTATTTTAATAATTTAACGACTTTATACAACGGAATTGTTTCAAATTTGTAATGGATATTGCAGCCTATGACAGAAAATTGTCCGGGCAGGTCCTCGCATTCGTATAGCCCCCATTTAGCGGCACCTCCCAATATTCAGTATTTTGATGATTTTAGCGACATTATTCATCGATTTTTTTTTTCAATTTTCGCATTTGAATATTGTAATGACTTATGACAAAAGTTGCCTATGAAGGTCCACGTCTTCGAATAGACCCTAATATAACGGCTACATTCGGTATTTTTAAGATTTTAACAGAATTTATGTTTTTGAACATTGCCAAATTCGTTCTAAACAGTGGAGGGTATTCAAAGTTCGGCCTGGCCGAACTTACAGCATTTAGCTCAGTTCGAAAGTTACTCTTTAAAAAATCAAGTATAATTGGTCAGTTGGTCCTTGAAGAAAATTTTCTCTAAAAATTCACAATAATTGGTCGAATGGTCCTTGAAAAAATATTCTTAAAAATCTACGATAATTCTTTGATAGTCCTTAAAAAGTTACATTTGGTCAGATTTTTCTTGAAAAAAATGTCCTCAAAAAATCCATGATTATTTGCCAGATTCTTTAACAATCGACAATTTCTGATCTATTGCTCGTCGCAAAAATACTCTGTAAAAATCCACGAATTTTCGTCTGAAGGTCCTTGAAGAAATATTCTTTAAAAATTCATAGTTATAACTCATGTGGTCCTTAAAAAATATTCTTTAAAAAATCCAAACTTATTTGGCTGAAGGTCCTTGAAAAAATATCACAAAAACCCGACGTTTACTGCTAAGATAGTCCTCGAAAAAATATTCTTTAAAATCCCATAATTATTGGTTAAATTGCCCATGTCTATTTGCTTAAAGGTCCTCGTTGTCGAGAATAGACCCTAATATAACGGCTACATTCGGTATTTTTAAGATTTTAACAGAATTTTAACGAAATTGCCAAATTCGTTCCAAATGGTCGAGGGTATCCAAAGTTCGGCCCGGCCGAATTTATAGCTTTTAGCTCAGCTTAAGCATCTAACTTTTTTCAAATTTTACACATCCAAATATTTTTGCTAACGTAAGATCTGCTGGTGAAGATGATATATATCTGCCAACCCCTTCTGATAACTCACCCACAAAGGGTCACAAGTGTCATAATTTGCGAAACAAGTCGGCGAATTTTTACAATAGCTTTAACTAAATATTTCTCTCAACCAGAGATAAATATGGAATTTATGCATTTCGCATAAAATTGGATATAAATGTTAAATTTCCTTCCGAATTTGCACATACCAATATTTTTATCTATATTAGACGAAGTGCGATCTGGTACCTCACGCACATTTTAACATTTTCAAATAATAATCACATATTTAAAATAATGTGAAGGAAGTAGTCGATATAGTCCAACCCTGGCACGACGCAATATTTATATCATATTTATTTAGGTCCGATAGGAAATGGTCAATATTGGCCCATTCCTTCGGAACCTACTCCACAGAGGATCAACAATTTGAATAATCATAACAGAAGTCAAAATATATTTAAATTATCCAACATTGGCTGAGGGTATACATCTGTCGGAAAAATCGACTGACACTTTTTATCTTGTTTTTTTTTTTCACCTTCGAAAATTAGCTTCTAATGAATCGACTTTAATGGAGAAATGATGAAATTCCATGAATTGGAAAAAAATTACTTTTAAGGTCATTAATCATTCTGACAATTCCGTTTTCTTCGTTTTTGCATGTGACAAGGCCAGGGCCAGTAGTTTGAGGGTATATAAAGGCAGAAGAGTAGTGCAAAACTCCACAACACGTTTTTTTAACAACCTTCAACATGCGTTTTTTTGCGAATATTCTAATTTTATTGGCTATTGTGGCCATGGCCTTGGGTCAGGTAAGAATAGCATGGAATATCTACTTTTAATACTCTCTTGAATCCTTTAGGGATATTGAGTCATATAATAGCATATATGTATTAAATAAATTATAAATATTATTTTCTATTACAGCAACAATCTCCTCCTGCTGATTACGAGAATGCAGCCAATGCCGAATCCCAACCAAGGGAAGATCCTGCCAAGATTGGTTTCTCCTTTGAATTTGGAAAATAAAAAGTTGTGGCAATTGTATTTTGATTTATGGGAAATAAAATAAAAACCATTTAATCGGTTTTGCCGATAGATGTATATCCTCAGCCTATGCCAGATTATTAAAATAAGTTTTAACTTACATTATGATAATTTCAAATGTTGAACCTTTATGGAATATATATCGCGTGAGGTACCACATATATTGGACTAAGGCATTCCACTTCATCTAATACTGTTCAAAATATTTCGGATGTCGACTATTTGAGGAAAATCGGAAATGTAAATCCAATTTTTTTGCGAATAATTGTTTATCATAATTTAAAACTTTTGTGCGGGAGGTACGAGAAGGAGTTAATCTATAAATTGCATATTCACATCAGATCATAGATTAAGAAAAATAAGTGGATTTGCCTAGTTTGAAAAGAACCGCCGATATGATATGGGAGAGGTACAAGAAGGAGTTGTAGGGCGATATCTATAACTTTCACAACAGAACTTGAGTTAGTAAAAATATTAGGAAATTTAAAGGTAATCGGATGCTCATTTCGCATTTTATGTGAGATATAATTGTTCAAAATTTTGACCAGTTGTGGGGAGGTATCAGAAGGATAGGTCTGATTTATCTCATCTACCAGAAGAAGTAGAAGTAGTATTCCATCTTCATACCAGGTGAAGTGTTGATAGATATATTGAGATGTGCCGAGTTTAAATCGGATGCTCATTTCACGGTTTACGAGCTTCATGGCTATTCAAAAGTTTGTCCCCTTATGTGGGAGGTATCAGAAGGAGTAGACCGATATATCCCATCTCCGGTTCGATCTGTACCATCAGATCTTGTATTGACGGAAATATTGAGATGTGCCAAGTCCGAATGGAATCGGATGTTAATTTCGCCTTTTATGAACTTAAAGGTTATTCAAAATTTTGACTCTTTGTGGGGGAGGTACCAGAAGGTGTGAAGCGATATATCCCATCTTCACACCAGACATTGGGTTATTAAAAAAAATGTGATGTGTATATTTTGAAGAGCACCAGATGCTTATTTTAGTTTTTGTGAGAGTGTTGGTTATTCAAAACTTTAGCCCTTTGTGAGGGAGGTACCAGAAGGAATGGTCCAATATCTGCTATATTTATAACAGATCTTGTGTTAATGGAAATATTGAGATGTGCAAAGTCCGAATGGAATCGGATGTTAATTTCGTATTTTATGAGCTTCATGGATATTCAAAATTTTGACCCTTTGTGGGGGAGGTACCAGAAGAAGTAAACCGATATATTCCATCTTTACACCAGACCTTGGGTTAACAAAATTATTGCGAAGTATTGAAGATAATCGGATTCTTACATCAAATTTTATAAGAGTTGTAATTATTCAAAATGTTGACCCTTCGTGGGGGAGGTACTTGATGGAGTGGACCGATATTTTCCATTTTCGCACCTGATCTAGCACTGACGTAAATACTAGGATTTGCAAAGTTGGAGTAAAATCGGATTATAGTTTCTCTTTCTGTGCAGAAAATATATTTTTTGAAAATGTCGACCTTTTGTGGGGGAGGTACCAGAAGGAGTGGACCGATATATTCCATCATAACACCTGACCTTGGGTTAATAAAAATATTGGGAAGTGTGAAATTTGAAGACAATCGGACTCTTAAATCGCATTTTTTAAGAGTTGTAATTATTCAAAATTTTGACGTTTTGTGACATTTTCGACTAGGGACATTTTGACCGTATCAAATGATTATACTCTCTCTAGCCACATGGCTGAGGGTATAATTACGCACATTCTATTGTCCCTTTATTGAAAACAATTTGAAGGAACTAGGAAGGCATATGATAATCCTCATAGCGTCTTCAAAGAATGGTTTTATAAGGGCTATCATTGCCTTTAGCAAAGGTTTTGGGAAATAATAATATTAGAGCCTTAAGCGTGAAGTTTTAAAAAAATGTTTTTTCAAAAGTCCAACGAAGCAATTAACATGAATTTTAAGGAATATCTGTGACAAATTTCTGGTGGCCTTTAAAATAATTTTCTTAATTATATTGGTTTGCTTCAGGCGCAAAGAAATTATTATTCAAATTATGTGTCCATTGACACCCCTACCAAAATCGCTTTATTATCTTTATAAACTCTTCAAAATTTTTAGAGAATATTTTTCCAGAAGTCCAAAGAAGCTGTAAACTTGGATTTTTAAAAACAACTCCAACAAATTTTTGTTAGTTTCATAATTTTCTTACAAATATCTTCAGAGACAATAAAATTTTCTTTAAAACATCCAACATCGCTTTTAATTTTTTTTTTTTTAAACTCTTCAAATATTTTAATAACTCTTCATTGACGTATAAGTGCTATTCATTTACCTTAATAGATGTGTCACTCATACGCCACCCGGTAATAGCATCCTTTCGGATAATGTGTCAAAGTAGTTTTTTTTTGTGTTCACGACCAGCGAATTCAATTTAAAATTGAATAATTTAACTGACATCCGGTGCACACACACGATTTACCAGCACCAAATGTTTTGTTTACGGGGCTTGTAATGGAAGAGAGAGAGAGAGAGAGAGAGAGAGAGAGAGCGACAAATTAATGTTTAATGGGTTGATATTTTGTGACAGCTATGAAAAAGGTTATTTTAAATGAAGTACGTCATGTTTGTTGTTAAGTTGTATAAAAATACAAAAAGTTGAAACGTTTGTTAATTGTTTTATATTTCCCGAACAAATCTATAATTATTGGTCTAATGGTCCTTGAAACAAAAAAAAAATATAGTTTTTAAAAAAAAATCAAAATTTTTGTCACGTCAGTCTTTTAAAATATATTCAAAAGCCCTCCACCAATTGGAACGAATTTGGCGCAATTCTCAAAAACAAAAAAATCCGTTAAAATTGCTGTTAAAATCTTAAAAATGCCGAATGTAGCTGTTATATTAGGGTCTATACGACGACCCGGACCGGCATAGATAACATTTCTCATAAGCCATTACAATATTCAAATGCGAAACCTAAAAAAAATCGGTAACAATGTAGCTAAAATCATCAAAATACCGAATATCGGGAGGTATGGGGACTATGCGAAGGCGTAGACCGACACAGACAATTTTCTGTCTTAGGCTGCAGCATCCATTACGAACCTTAAATACCAAATTTGAAACAATTCCGGTGAATAATGTCGCTAAAATCATCAAAATACCGAATATCGGGAGGTACCGTTGTATAGGCGCTATGCCAAAACGTGGACCTACATGGAAACAAAAAACATACATTTTAGTACAATTTTATCAATCTACTTCAATTCGTTCGGAAGCTAGAGTGATTTCCACAGACTGACGGACATCGCTAAATCGGCATAGAATTTTATGCTGATCAAGAATATACATATACTTTGTGGGGTCTAAAATGTATAGAACATTGAGGTACCATTGAGGTACCAGAAGAAGTGGTCCGATACATTCCATCTTAGCATCAGGTCTAGTGTTAGTAGAAAATAATGGGATGTGGGATATATAAAGAGAACCGGAGCTTATTTCGAATTTTATAATCGTTTTGGTTTTTCAAAACTATGAACCTTGGTGGGGGAGGTATTTGATGAATTGGACCGATGCTGTCCATATTCGCACCTGACTTTGCACCGATGTAAATATTAGGATTTGGAAAGTTGGAGCAAAATTGGATTATCCTTCTCTTTCTGTGCAAAAAATAGTTTTTGAAAATCTCGACCTTTTGTGGAGGAGGTACCAGAAAGAGCGGACCGATATATTCCATCTTAACACCAGACATTGGGGTGATAAAAATATTGGGTCGTGTGAAATTTGAAGACAATCGTATTCTTACATCACATTTTATAAGAGTTGTAATTATTCAAAATTTTGATCCTTCGTGGGGAAAGTACTTGATGGAATGGGCCGATATTGTCCATTTAGCACCTGACCTAGCATTGATGCACATATTAGGATATGCAAAGTTGAAGAAAATAGGATTATCCTTTCTCTTTCTGTGCAGTAAATTATTTTCTTTGAAAATATTGATATTTTGTGGGGGAGCTACCAGAAGGAATGGTCCGATATTGCCCATCTCCGAACCGGAAATGGACCAAAATACCGCAGAGCAACATTCGGGCAGCGTGTGACGGTTTCATTAGCCGTTTGAAGGCCATAATTCGTGCCAAAGAAGACCAATTCAAAAAAATCTAAACTTATTCTAATATTTGATGCTATTTCCGAAATTTTTGCTTTTATTCAATAAAATAAAAAAAAAATGTGAAAATAATGGCATTTGACTTTGTTGCAGTTTTTTTATCTCACATTTTTTTATCTTACATTATTGGTCAGATGGTCATTGGAAAAAAATGTTCTCAAAAACGCCGTGATTATTTGTCAGCTTCGTTAAAAATCTACAATAATTGGTCATCGGAAAAATGTTCTGTAAAAATTCACGAATTTTGGTCCTATTCTTTAAAAATGCATGGTTACAACTCAGATGTTCCTGGGAAAATATTCTTTAAAAATCCAAATTTGTTTAGCTTATGGTCCTGGAAAAATATCGCTACAGTCGTCACGATTATTTCTCAGATCGTTCTTGAAAAAATATTCCTTAAAAATCCACAATTATTGATTAAATTGTCCTTGAAAATGGATGCTCAGAACCTAGCCTTTATTGCTCAGATGGTCCATGAGAAATTTGCTATAAAAATTCACGATTATTACTGAAGAGGCCCTTGAAAAAAGATAATCTCATGGTCCTTGAAAAAGATCCTCAGATGAGCTTGAAGAATATTCTTTAAAAAATCCACGTTTATTTGGATGGAGGTCCTTGAGAAACTTTCTTTAAAAAATCCATGTTTATTTGGCTTAAGGTCCTTGAGAAAATATTTTTTAAAATATCCACGTTTATTTGAGAAAATATTTTTTAAAATATCCACGTTTATTTGAGAAAATATTCTTTAAAAATCCACGTTTATTGGTCAGTTGGTCCTTGAGAAAATATTCTTTAAAAAAATCCACATTTATTTGGCTGAAGGTCCTTGGGAAAATATTCTTTAAATAATCCACGTTTATTGGGCTGAAGGTCCTTGAGAAACTTTCTTTAAAAAATCCACG